CTTTTTTTTTTTTTTAAGCTAGAAGGATAAAACTACCAGTGGAATAATACCAGGACATATAACTTCTAAATCACTTAAAAGAAAAAAAATTCATGATCTAAGAAAGTGCTCAAGAGACCATAGCAAGTGAAAGTGTTGAGTGATAAAATCAGTATACAAAACTATATACACAATATGTCCCAACTTTTAAAGTATGTACATATAATAAATACTGATAGAAATACATGAAAATTTAACAATTGTTGACTATGAGTCACTACATGTCATTGTGTTTTTTAAACAGTCTACAATGAGCATTATTACTTTTATAATCAGAAAAGTCTAACATAAAAAAGAAATGGAAGTATGGTAACAGCTCACCTTTCAGAATTCTCATCTATCTAGAAGTCTCACTTATCTAGAAGACCAACCCAGTATCAAAACTTAAGCAAAAAAGACTCTGGGCAGCCAAAATATAAGTCACAAAGGCCACACCTAAAGGTCTGGGTACTGTGTTCATCGAGACAACCCTTCATATCTTCTTTTACACATATTTTAATTCCAACGAACTTGATTTTCTAATGTGCCAGTAGCATTGGGGATACAGATACATCGAGAGGAGTGCAAAGTAATAAGCCTGGCTTAACAGCAGAAAAAAAGTGACATCTCTTAACAGGATTTTAATTTTATTTACCAAACACTCAATGATGTTTAATACATTCCAGATACTATTCTAAGTTCTTTTCAAATATTTTTGCCTTTATTCATCATATAAATTCTATGAGATAGGTACTATTATTATATCTCCACTTTACAGATGAGCAAACTGTAAAGTATGATATACTTTAGTTTTAAAGTATGATAATAGATATTCACTATAACAACTCTGAGTTAAAGTGTTCAATGGAGATCTCTTTGAACACAGACTGATTGAGGAAGTGAGAAAAATTCCTAATAAATTTTAGAAAAAAAATGTTCACAAATGTTTATAATAAAAAAGTTAGAGTGCTTAAAGAGAATATCTTCAGTTACCCAGAGTGAGTCACTCCTGTGAGTTCCACAGAGCTGGAGTTTTGCTATATTAAAAGGATTTTATGGTTGGCCACATTGACCAATACAAATCTGGAGAATAATCTGGAAGGAAATGATTAATGACTGCTTCTTTCCAAGGAAGTTTAAAAATAAGTAACCATAGGCATTTCGGCATCAGCATTAACACAGCAATTGCCACTAAATGCAGCCAGGTTGGGGATGTTATTTTGGTTTCAATTCACATTCTGAGCAGGATTTAGGTAGCCACCTTGTAGGTAGTTGGGCCCTATTAGCTATTAGGATAAAGTCAGTAGGCCCAATTCCAACACACAAGTCACACTGTGAACCAAAGAAATATTTATTCTCCTCCTTGCCTCTTGTGCTTCTGACTTCAAAAGCGGGACTTAGAAAGACAAGGAAGAAACTGATTATGTTTATATCTGTGGAATAAAGATTATGCAAACTGCCAGCACACCATTGTTTTTGTTTTCAGCATGGTTATCACAAAACAAAAACAAAAGATAACCTCTACATCTGAAGCTTGATTATTTGAAAACAGACTTGAATATTTCCTCCTCTTTCAATACTGCAGTAAAAACCCTTCATTTTACTTATCTAGAAGGTACTTATTTGCTGATATAGACTAGTTACTATTTCTGTATGAGAGCTTGACAGAGTCTGAGGAAGCTGTTTCCTAAGTTACCCTAGAAGCCTTTCACTGCTTTAACATTTGCCAAAAATCCAAGAAAACACTTTTTAAAAATAATTCCATACACACCCAGCAGGGCTAACAAGAGAAAAATATAATCGCAATCTTGGTTAATGGCTTTTTAGCACTCTGACCTCTCCAAGCTTCTTTTGTTTGTTCCTTTTTCTTTTAAATAATCTTACTGGTTGTTTTTTCTTGATTACAAAAGCAATACATGGTCACTGACACAGTTTGAACAACACAAAGATGTATGCAATATAATTAATAATCTCTCTACCACTCTCTCACTCCCCTCCCAAGGAAACCAGTGTTAATAGTTTGGTGTACATTCTTTCTTACTTCTTCCTAGGCTTGCACAAGCATACATAATACATGGTTTTTTGGGAGGGAGCGGGGGTTGTTTTTTCATTTTCAGACAAAAATGGGATATTATACATATTATTTTGCACCTTGCTTTTTACTCTTAAAAATATGTTATGGTTAAGACTATACTTTCAGGGATCATTTTTATAGTTTGTTAAAAATATGTTATGGATACTTTCTAAGACAATACATATAGAGAGAGATGCATCACATTCTTTTTAATGGCCGCAAAATATTCCATAAGATGAATAATTCATTCGTATCATTGCCCCACCTTTCTCATCTCATGGATATTCAGAATAAATCCTTATATGTGCTTCATGTCCATTAATTTCAGGAACATAGATTCCTAGAAGTGGAGTTTCTGGGTTGAATGAAACATCTTTAAATGTTTAAAATTTTATCCTTAAATAAAATGTTTTTAGACTTTCGGAATTTCTGCTCCTTTCTTTATTATGCAAAATTTTGGCATAAACCTTTCATGATGTTTTGCATATTTTATTTTTTAAAGCACACACATTATGTCAAAACACCCCTGTCATTTATGCCTGTGTAGTTACAAACAAATAAATGTTTAAGTTATGGTTGTAATGGTCAGCATTAAATCACTGTGCAAATGCTTATGCCTTGGTTTATGAAAGTAATAATTCATTGTGGAAACTCCACCCCCACAGCCATGTGGCAGCACTCAAGTGGCAGGCCTATCACCTTATGACTTCCTCCACTGAGTGACAACACAGAGATCAGGACCTCCATATTTTCTAATTGTCAACAGTCAAATGCCTTAAAAAAGTATGTGTGGGGAGAAACAAGTAAACATCAACATATGCTAAATTGTGGGTTTCTAATACCCACAAATTATTTGTAGTACAATGAGTAATTCTGTGGGTCTACACCAGAGACAGTGTTCCATAAAAAAAAATAATAATAATAAAAAAAAACCCTATAACCAATACATGTTGCTATGATTACAGGAACCTTTCAAAAACATATTCTTCAAACAATTTTTCAATAGAATTATTGGCTGAATCTCACCTTTACATTTTTCCTCCCTACTTCAGATTCAGACTCTAACCAAAAACTTTTTTAAAAAGCCTTAAAGAAATACATTAACTACGAAGCTTCTTAAAATTTAATCTCATACTCCTCTGTATATTTTAAAGACACAAGCACCAACAGAGATTGTTAAAACACAGCAAGTTTGATACAGAAGTATGTGACATGCAATTAATCTCCATTCATACCCTGCTCTACTTGTCAGCAAACAAAGGTTCTGCTTTAGAAGGAGATCTGAAGACTTCAATTAAAAACAGGCAGCTAACAAGAAAATAATCTAAACTAAAGGAAGGTGGCAGGTGCAGAAATGAGTTGTTTACCAAAGTGTCAGTTTTGAACAATAAAGAACTGCACATCAAAAATGTTGAAGGAGTAGATTTCATTCCAAGTCTCTGAAAATAAAAAGGAATTTTCTACCGAGTCTACACACGAAACGGAAGTGTAGTTTAACAAGCTTGTAAAATAGGTTTCTCTCATCAAATGACAGATGCCAATAAAAAGAATCACTTTGTATCTTTAAATGCAAGGGCAGAATTAAACTTTTTGCCACAATTCCTTCTCTCTTGGAAACCCAACACTAAACATGTCGAATATTGAACCAACAGCAGAAAGGCTGGATGGCTTCTTCTTAGACACCCAGGTGATGCTTTTACCTTGCAAGCACTTTTCTACTCTGTAATTTTACATTTACTTAGATAACAAGTAAAATAGATTTTGAAAAGTTCACCTCAAAAGAAATACCTAGTTGACAGCTTTTACACAAGAAACAATCCAGAATGGAAACAGTGCTACAAACAGAGACCAAAGGACTTGCCAAATATTTAATTAGGAGGCATTTTTACCAAGATAACAAGGTAATGGAGATATAAAACCAATTAAATCGAAGGAAACTGAAAAAAATACTGCCTGCCAAAAGTATGACCTGCCCAAAGCAGGCCATCTGTTAAATATGTGTCAGAAATGTCACCGAGATGCCAAAAGGCTTAATTCTGAGCAGTTTCCTTCTGGGACCCTTATGCTAGCACAGATTCCAGGCCTCTGTCTTTTCAAGAAGGTCAGTTACAGGAAAACACGTTACTTTCACCAGAAAAAGTGTGAACTGAGCAGATGATATTGCCCATTAGCAAAAAGTCTCTTTGGAGTGTTAGAAGAATGTGTTGAGTGTTAGCATGGCCTTAACTCTTAAAAGGAATGCTTAGGCACTAGAGTTTGCAGGTGAACACACCACAGTGGAGCACTTCCAGAACAAGAAGGAATGCAATACTGAGGGCGTCAGCCTGCCCTGGGTGTATAATGAATCTTCAAAAGTCTGCAGGCTGGTAAAGGGAGGCTGGGAGTTTCCTCGCTGACAAAAACTCACATGAACCCTCAGGCCTGGCCACAGGATCCCATGAGCCCCTCACAGTCCCCTTGAGCGCCTCAGGGAACTCTAAGCAGAAGGGTGAGAGTCCTTTGCCAGAGGTGTCAGTCACCTAGGCTGAAGAGGGAGGAGGGCACACACCTACAAGACGGAAGAGAAGTCCTGAGCAGAAACGGGCAGTTTGAAGACCAGGCCAGGTGGGATGCGCCATGGCCAAGAGCCTGGCCTGAAGTTGTTCAGAAGCCCAGGAGGTTAAGTGGAGGCATGGTGGGTGACACCTTGAGAAAAAAGAAAATGTGGAACTGAGGGGAGTGATAGGGTCCCTGAGGCAGGAGAATGAAAATCTGACTTTGCAGGGTTGAGGACTCTAGAAGCCTTGAGGTTCGGGAAGGTAGAGGGTGATGGAGCTGAAAAGAAAGCCCGGCCTTGGGAGGCGCTGGCATCTCCTTTCCTGCCTTCGGCTCTGCACTGGAGGGACTGCCCGGAGGGCCAGGGCGTTACCTGCCAGGAGCCAACGGATCTCCTCGGGGAGGGCGACGGCGGCCTGCATTTGGCGGGGCGGTGGGGCGGCCGAGTGTGAGGCGGGAGAGGGGCCTTGAAGGCCTGGTGCCGAGACCCGCGGGCAGGAAGGCGCAGGCGGTATGGCGGAGGCACCTGTACCTCTGTCGCTGCCGACGCCGCGGGGCCGAGCCGCAGGGCGGGGCCGCGCTCAGGAAGTGGCGCGCGCGGCGGGCGGGGGGCGCCTCGGGGCGAGGGAGGGGGGACACCTGTGCGCGGTGCACGCGCCACTCCCGCGGGCGCTCTGAGGGAGAAAGATGGGCGCGTCGCACCAGGCGGGGCCCCAGCCGTGGCTCTCCAGGTGCCCTCCCACCCCCAAAGCAAAAAACTAAACGTGACTCCGAGGAACCTCGTCTCTTGGAGACTTCGAATCCTAAGCAGTGAGCAGTTGGCCTCAAGGGGCAGATGTAAAAGCCATGGTGGTGCCTGAAATGCAGGGCAGGGGGCAGAATCCGAGGAAGAGACTAGTCCCTGCCAAGCCTAGCAGCACTGTTTCCCAACCAGTTCTCACATCCACACCCAGAAACCAGCACAGAACATTCGCTCTCTTGGACAAACCTGAATGTTTAAAGGGAATGATCGTAAGTCTCAATAAATAATACAAAGCCACCAACATTTGGGTGATGGATGCAGGGAGCCGCCCTTCCTCCCTAAGAATGAAAGAATATAAGGGAAGGAAGGGGTGACCTGGGGAGAAAGATAAGGGAGAGAGGAACCGAGCTCTTTCTAAGTGGTGACAAGAAGGAAATTCACGGTACAGTAGGTGTCAATGTCCTGGTGTGATACTACTATATTACAAGATGTTACTATTGGAGGTAGCTGGTAGACAGGATGGCTCTGTATCACTTCTCATAATTTCTGTGAATAGCAGTTATCTCAAAATAGAGTTTATTTTTTTAAGGTACAATAGGTCAAGTGCCATGAAAAAGGTATAAAGTGCCATGGGCTATGAAAAGAGGGAGATGAATATAAAAAAATGAAGGAAGTTCTGTGTATGTGTGTTTACATGGTTCATGTGGCATTTGAGATGGGCTCTGAACACCCCAGACTTTGAAAGGGTAAGAGGGCTTTCCAGGCAGAAGAACCAGGATAAACAAAAATGGAAAAGCCGCCTCCTGCGTGAGGAACAGTTAATAACCCCTTTTTACTGAATCGGTGTAAAGAAATTACGGTTGTCAAGAAAAATGGAAGCTCTAATATGAAGGGACTTGGAATTCAGAATGAGGATTTTGACATCAATTGAGTAGGTACTGGGGAGCCACTGACAAATTTTGAGCTGAAGAGTGACCCTGTGTGGTATGTGATCTCTCGCATCTCATTTCACCTCTACCTTTTTCCTTCTTTGTGAAAAACCAAGTTTCTGTTCTCAGACTCTGCCTACAGAATATGTGGGAAGGATTGGAAGCGTTAAGAGAAAGGACACAGGGAAGATGGGTGAGGCAGCTTTTACAGCAGGAGAAATAACGATGGACGAAACCATGGATGTGGGGAGAGGAGCAGCAAAAAGAAACTGACCAGAAAGATGCCTGGTAGCAGTGCCTGGCATAGTTTTCCCTCCAGAGTTACAGTTTCAAGGTTGGGGACCTGATCCTTTACAAGGTGGTTTTGACCCATCTTTTCATGTCTGCACCCTGTGATCTTAAGAGGAATGGTGCCTTGGTTTCAGGGTCATGTGACCCACGCACAAGTTGCAGCAAATTGGTTTCGGGGTGGGGGTAGGGGAACAGAGTCTGGCAGGAGTCTCTGGGGAATCTGGCTCCTGCTATTCCTCCTTCTCTCCTTGGGAAACTTAACGGTGAGAAGGCTGCCTCCCTCAGGCTTCAGAGCGAATAACAGGTCCCTGCTGGGGCATTTTACTACACTCTGCTCCTTTTATAAAATTGTATCTGCTCTGGAATCATTTTTTAGTACTTCTGACATGTGTTAAAAAGCAAGGGAGAATATATCGGAATTTTCTGTACTATTGTTGCAATTCTTCTCTAAATCTAAAACCGTTCTAAAAAAAACAGTAAGAGAAACAGTTCTTTTTATATGTAACCCCAGCACTTTGCCTTGCTTTCCCTCTTAGCAGTAGAAGGAAATTTGACAGCCTCCCCCTCTTCTTCAGGGATATTTGTCAGATGCTAATATAGGCTACAAGCTAATGAGTTGTTCGATAAGGACCAATAAACCCAGGTAGGTAACTGCACATCTTCTCGGTTCTCTACCTGTCATAGCTTGCTTATACTGAGGGATGTGGCATAAACTCATGGAGCAGGCATTCCACATCCATTCCAGGTCTTAGAGAGACAGGGATAGAGGGAGGTGCAGAGCTGGGTAGTGTGTAGTTGGTGACTGGCAGATTCCAATACGGCATTGTCATGTTGTATCAAGGTTCCTCGTTGCAGACAGAAACCTGCCTCCACACATGAGT